GAGAACTCGATGCCGATATAAACAACTCCATCTAAAAATAATGCGAAGAAGTACAAATAAATATAATTTTTGCTTGAAGCATAACATTTTATGCTTATGTTATGTAAATGCCTTTTGGCTTATGTTTATTTTGGTTTTGCTTACATTATGTTATGTGATAACATAATATGTTATCTCTTACATTCTGCTTATTATCTCTTCTAAATCAACGCGCTCTTGCTCTCTCCTTTTCAAAGCAGAGCTTTAATATGTAGACAGGCTTTCTAGAGCTATTCTAATTTCAATTCTATAACTAAGTTTTACTTTATTGTATGCGTTCCGCACTTCTTTATTGAATATAGTTTTTTGGTATCTCCTCTGAACAGCAATCAAAATCGATACATACGTCCATGGAATAGGGAAGCTCTACAAATTTTTGAAGTCCTCCGTCTGCTTCTGGTTGGCTACCTTATTCCAAGTATACTCAATATTGATTGACTTAATTAGTAACTATCTAGTGCGATACGAAGTTGTCTTCTAATCCTTAGTAATATAACGGTTATTAAAAATGCTCAAATATTCAGAATATGAGGAAATGCCTACACCAGTCTACATTTATTAGAATGCTTCTACATTAAATAAAAAATATAATTTTAACAAACAGGAGACTGTCTTATATCTTTAAAGTGCAGCAATTTCTTAATAATTACGTCCTTTTTGTTTTACACTATTATATATATTATTACACTAATCAACAAAAACAGATTTGTTTTGCATATTTGTGCTCAGTGTAAACACACACACATACATGCATACATTTGCGTTCCAGTGTATTGAATGCCTTGCACGTAGCAACATAAATTTTGGCTCTTACCTTGGGCTTTTCTTTTCTAATATATACCAACATCTACGGAATTTATGAGATTTTGCAATGCTATGGGGCAGCAGGAGGTTAAGGTTGGTGGGTTTTGTTGTTGTTTTGATTTGCCAGGCATTAGTGCAAAGTATACGACGCGTGCCATAACATGAACTAAGGCTCTCGATCTCTTAATTGAAACATGCTCGTAAGTGCATTAAATCCAATAGTACGATATAATGAAGCTGATTAATTCAATCAGACGAACGACAGCAGGGCCTAATGGGAAATGGGAAGACGACGAAGAAGAAACAAAGGCTGCATAATATGAAAAGGGCAGCAGCATATCCTGAAAGTGTATGAGTATGTGCGTGCCTCTGTGTGTGTGTGTGTGTGTGCCTGTCTGTGTGCGTGTTAAGTAGTTTAACACGCTAATGCGATTGAAGCAGAGAGCGAGAGAAATCGAGAGCGGCAATGGCATGGCTTTTAAGCAGTGTGTTGATAGATAAAGGCATTTACTTACTGTACAAAGGGAAATTAGCGATGGGACTACAAAGTTAATTCAGTGAAATAATAAGCACAGAATGTCGCATGTGTGAGTAGAGAATAACAGCACAGATCATGGTTAGATTAGCTTACATAGTCACATCGAGAATTCCTACCTGATGTCTAAACTAGGCAACTACTCAGGCAGGTTAATATTTGTAAGTATTTATTTAAAAATTAATACTATCAGCTTGAATTCAAGTACAATTCTCCACAATAAATAATATTTACACAACCAGAAAATTAGCTTATTATTAATTATTAATTAAATAGCACAAAGAGTTGGCACATTGTATTGCTCTCAGCATGCGATTCAGCGTTTTCTCTCTTCCCCCTATATTTCGTTTGTAGAGTATGCTTGAGTTGTTAGCAAAAAATTTTGCAAAAGTACCGCAAGGTTTTATTTTAAATTCTGTTCCAACTATAACATTAATTAAAAAATAAGTGAGTTTCAATTAAAATCATTATTTATTATTAATTTTTTATTAAGAAATGCCGAGCTTCGACCGGCGATGAAGAACGTTAATAAAGAAACGTAGTGCAGTATTCAAATTTAATTCATTCAAATTCAAAACCTTATTTAAATGTATTTAGCTTAGCCGTTATGTTAGACTATAAGCATCACATTATGTGAATGACTTAATATTATTATTTTGATCTTTATTAATTTACATAATACAGCAGACTTTAATAAACTACGAGCCAGCTCTCTGGCAAGTGATTTCCTAGGAATCCCATTAGCAAACTTAATTTCTTTGTGCGGCTGTCTTGGGCTGTCTGTAACCTTGTCAGTTACATTAAAGCGGCTGCACATGTCATAAGCTGCGGTCAGAGACCGTAGCTTTTGGTCTTTGAAGTATTGAAGTATTCGTCTGGAAGCCATTACTTTTAATAATTTGACTTAAAGATTTCTTGTAATTTGTTTAAAGGCCACAAAATTTGTGTTGCTCCCGAATTGTGTGCGCTTTACAATTTTTAGATAAATATGTATATTTCCTCTTTAATCTGTATTTAAGAACTGTCCTAGATATTACATTTTATGAAATCTTGAAATCTGTTCAAATATGCGTTCTGTCATGATGGTTCTGACAATATTTTTGATATCGAAGTATTTGTGTATCCAACGATAAAAACGTGGCATACTTTTAAGCGCGATGGTAATGATGGTTGAAAGATGGAATCTCGACAGCAAGCCATGATTAAAAAGTTCTATACTACAGTTTCCATTTTTAGTCATCACTTTCCAGGGAACATTATGGAATACACTGTAATTTATAATTATTATAATGCAATCTTTTAAAAATTAAGATAAAATCTGTGAATATATATCATTTGCATACAAATTATAATGTTGACTATTAGCTGCGAAATAAAACATTAACATGATAATTATTTATTTTATTTCCCAGTCTACACTGTCAATTTTAATAAAATTCAAGTTTTAAACTAAACTATAATAAAAATTAATTTTAAAAAGGTCTTCCTGTTAGCGTTTTTTTATTTTTAAATTCTATTGAAAATCGAATTTTATTTTAAATCTGCTGATTATTTCTTCCTAAAATGATAAGCGTACTTTAAGAATTTCTTATCGCCAGAGGCGATTTATTTTGCTTTAGCACACAAAATATTCGACACTGATTGGCAAATTTGCAATTGTGTTTAAATAACGTTAACCACTAGCGAATGAAATTGGCTTAAAAAGCACATCAAAAACATTATTTGAAATGGTAAAGCAATTTATTTTGTTGGCACCTTGTAAAATTCATCTGTATATGTATACGTATTGCCAGCCTTTGCACAAATATTGCCAAACCCTGTTCAGGAAAATGTAAATTAGCAGATTGTCTTGGTGTTAATGCAATATGCAAATATTTTGACTTATGCTAATGAGGGTTAGACTGTTTTTAAGTCTGAGGCGGGTCCTACCCTGCCCCGCAGTTCGCCATCTGATGGCAGTGTGGAGCATGGATTGCCATCTAATCTGATATCTTGATATACGTAGCCAAATATTCCAGCTCATTTAGCGCAATGACCTTGGCATTTGTAAATTCAGTTCATCAATTCACCTCCGAGCCGCAAGATTCAGTCGTCAAAGTTGAAAGTTCAGCGAGTGGCAGAAAAAAGAAGAGGCAAGAAATAAGAAATTAGGCGGCGGCAACAAATTTCGAACATGGCGGCACATGACGGGCTTGACATGGGAACTGCGTCTGATGAGGGATGGGAGTGCGAGTGGGGGCTGGGGATGGGAATGGAAGAGGAAGTGTAGAGAAGGGAAGGGGAAGACCTATCAACTGCGCCTTAAATCAAGTTGTAAAGTGAGGCGCGAGTCGAGTGTTGGCAGCAGCTGTTGATGAAATGGCAACGACAATAATAACAACACAGCAGCAGCAGCAGCAACAACAACAACAACAACTGCGGCGTCCGTGGCAGTAACAAACAATAACAAAAAAAGAAGAAGAGGAAGAGAAAAAAAACCGTATATTGTAACAGTAACAGAAGCAGAAAACAGAAAACATGGAAAAAACCAAGCAAAATGAAGACGGACAGCTGCAAGGCATGAGCAGCGAGAGACAGATAGACGCAGTAATAACAACAACAATAACACATGCTCTGCCATACATATACATACATATGGAATCACACACACGCACGCCAGCAAACACTCACACATTCACACATGCGGCAAATGCTATAAAAGTGACAAATGTTAAACGAAATGTAAAGAAAAACTGACAACAGGAAGACGCGACGTAATGAAGCATAAAAAGGACATTTTTCAAGACGACTGCAAATACGAGCACAACAGTAGCGGCAACACCAGCAATAATAACAACAACAACAACAACAGCTACGAACAATGCCACCAACATACGCTTGCTTAGAGATGAACGGAATATGATTTGATGCCTTGATCGTGACAATCCTTAATAGAGTCTCGCATTAACTATTAAGAGCAGACATTTTGGCAACGCTATTGAAAGAAAGGTCGGTTTATACGCAAATGCTTACAGTTAGCAGACACTTGGTGTTAAAGTATTTATGACTGATTGGGGAAAGCCTTTGCGATAGCTTGGGCAGTTTTAATCAATTGGCTTATTAACAAAAAAAAAAAAAAAAAATCACGAACCATCAGAATTAATCTTTTATGGAAGCTATATTGGTTATCTAATTTGGATTCCGAGTTGCTTCGTATTCCGTAATATTATGAAGAAATGTTTTCATTCTGCTGATAGTTAAAGACTGATTTGGGAAAGCCATTGCTATAGCTTGGACGGTTTTAATCGATTGGTTTTTTTTTCAAAACAAACAACTAGTTATCAATTAGTTAGAACACAGTAATCGCTAATGGGAGTTATTGGTTGTTGGTTATCTAATTTGGTGGCAGAGTCCTTATTTTATTCCGTAATTTGACGCATATAATATTTATAACAGAGCTCTACTTGTATATCTGTAATTACTGCATAAAAAACGTTGTTCATTTCGGATTGTTTAGGATCCGTAGAAAAATTCCAATCAAAAACATCAAAAACGACCTCCAAAGGATAATTTCTTTAATATTTCTTGGCTAATTGTTATTGTACTTCAATTGGTTTATCCATCTTTATTAAAACGGCCATCATTTTATATTTACATATATGTTTAATGTAATTTTTTTGCATTTAATCAAGTTAAATTAAATTTTAAATAATTTTGTAACTAAACGAATTACCAATGCCATCAATCTTAACCCTCAAAAGACATCTAGTTTGGTTGGATTTTTGAAATATAAGTAGCATATTAATTTGTGGATCGTAAGCTATGATATTAATATCCGTATGTGAATATTATCCTGCAGAGAAGATTGCGTTCATTTGATAAATAAATTCAAATCGAATCTATTTTTCATTTCCGTTCTTTTTGTTCGTGAAATATCAAGTGTTTGCCCAATTTTTTTGGTGGGTTCTCATCAATGTCCATAATTTTAATTTAACTTTAAATGAAATATTTAATACTCCTCTGTTTAATGTGTAGAGACGGGAATATAAATATTCTTAGCAAATATTCCTCGTTTGAAAGCTTTGCTTGGAACGACTAAGTTCATTGAAATATTATATTATTAGCTCGTCGCTCCATTTAGCTTTTAATTTATATATTGTATAGTTTTCGTATATGTATAGTTAATTCTATAAATCAGTTAGGCGTTGCTACTGTAGATTATTTTATGCGTAGCCATTTAGCGTTTTATGATATCTCTACATATATTCTTATTGATCTGAATACGAGCAGGTTTAAAAATTCGTTCAGAATGAAACATATTAAGTGTAACTGCCTTCTCCATTATTCGCATTTGGTAGTTGTTGTGAATACTACTTGTATGTTTTGTTGTTCATCCTTTTCGTCTATGTCCTTCTTTATCCATTTTCTTTATATTTCTTTTCTCATACTACAATTGTCCTTTGTATTTCTCATTCTAAGTGAGATCTAGGAAAGATGTTGGGTCAATTAGATGTAATAGAAGTGCGGATTTCCCTCCGACAAGTCCTTTGTGAATAATACGCAATTATAGAATTAGGTCACCAACTATATATACTTCAGATACTTACGCCTATATTCCAAAGTACAATCAGGCTCAGCACTCCACCACAAGCGTAAAAATACTTTTGAATCTCCGTTCGCTGCAACTCATCCATGACGCCCATGTAACTGAAGAAAAGGATCAATACTGAAAACAGAACTATATTGAAGGCAACCAAAAGGCAAATGGATTGCAGCACTGAGCGCCTGGGCGCATTCTCATTGTAAATGGATTCCGTGGAGGGCATGGCATTAATAGGTTTAACTAAATGCACTCGACCTTCCTCGCTGGCCACCAACAAATTTTTTGTATGTAATGCCATGTTGATCAAATTTGTAGAAGTTTGAATTTACTTGAATATATCTGACTTATAACGAAACATATGCTCTTGTTTGGTTGAATATTTATTTATTAATTATTTTATTTGGGTAACACCTAATTTATATAATCCAATAATTTATATAATAAAATTTATATAATAAATAAAATAAATAATATAAATTAAATGCTAACTTAAAATTTAACGAAGCAATAGCATCTATGGCTTTCAGCCCCCTCTCAGTACTGAATTTTTTGTTTTACAATTATTTTTATTTGCCAGTTATACAAAGAAACGAATCCAAAAGTTATACATTTTTTCTCGCTAGGTGCAACAACTTCAATTATTGCAACTACCCTTTCCCTTAGTTGCGATTGTGGAGCTTATTATAGAGTAATGTATAAGATGCGTACAATCCGGACTCTATCATTGAAGATATTTGTGATTTATTTGTTATCATCTGCATTGCAGATGAATTGGCAAGGGGGGAACTGGCATGCCATTAACCTCCTTCTTCCGCTGAACTAGCTGGGCAAACACTAACCAGTGTACTGGTATGGCCAACTCTGGGCATAAAAAAGATCGACCCAACTCCTAAGATTGAAAAGAGAAGCGAAAAAGATTTAAAAGCCTCATTGGTATTGGATTCGCCGACTTGGCATTCCTTAATGATTTTTGTAGAATCTGCAGGGACCAATAGAAGTAGAAGAATTTAATTTAATGCAAATTGAATAAAATTTCAAAAACTTTCCAGATGTTTTAGGGCAGACCATTAAAAAAAATAGGCCTTCTTGGCCTAAGTGGGTGGCCAGCCATCGCAGCCTAACCGAACCTTATTAAGAGCTTGTGATTTTGTGATCTCTTCTGTTTGATTATTTTATTTTGCTATTATAAGTAGATTATTGTAAACAAAAATTGTCTGAATTTGTTTTATTCGTATTTATTGCACCAGCCAGAGCATACAATCGCTTACAAATTTCAATTTGTCCGCCCTCTGAGAGTGTTTTCAATGATTATTGGCAGCAAACAAATACGAGTTTGTTTTCACGCTTCCATCTCCAGCTGGCGTTTGCTTTTTTGGGGGGCGCAGGAAATCAAAACATACTGCATACTTGTACCTTGTGGCCCATGCTCGACAATGAGTCTCGCCGCATAATCGAAATTCATTTGAACGCATGTAATCAATGCGACAACAACAGCCAGTGCCAAATTATGCAAATTTATCAGCCCCCTCCCCCAACAGCCGCCCTGAGCAGTAGGACCAAGTTGGCTGCTCCAGTAATTGCCAAAAAGAGAGCAGAACGCAAAAGCAAACCCAATTTATTTAATTTGTTTTCTTTCTGGCAGCTTCGTTTTTTTATTTCATTTCTTTTGCTTGTTTTTTGCATTCTTTATTTCGCCTCGTAGTCTAGCTTGTAATATTTATTATCGAATTGTGTAACGGCAGCAGGAACTGCAATACCAACTAAAAGAACAAAAACAACAAAACAACGAGCGTCACATGCCGGGAAGGCAGCGCACAGAAATGCGAAGAACTTGAGTTGCGTGCGCCTGCAACTTGAACTTGCTCTATGTCCTCCGTACCCGTGTCCCATGTCCCATGTCCTATGTCCTGAGTTCCGTTTGGTTTTAAAATGTTTGCTGTTCGGGCATTTGGCAGCGCATTGCATTGCCAGAACATTTCCAGAGCGTTGCCAAAGCCATTGGTATGCACACGCGTGTACTTCACTTATTTGAGCGCCCTGCGTGGACTTTCGCATAGTTCTTGTTGTTATTCTTGTTGTTATTCTTGTTGTTGTTGTTGTTGCTCTTCTTCTTCTTGCTGGTTTCCCTATACGTATATCTTGTGCTCGCCCCTTTCCTCGTCCTCAAAGTCGCAGTAGTCGTCGTCGTCGCTTGTCGCTTGTCCTCAACAGGAAGTCTCGCTGCAGCCCCAGTTGAGGAGCATATGCCCTGCACGTATTGCCCTTATAAATTGTTGCCAAATATATACATACGAGTACATGCCAGAGTGCACCACAGTGTGCTTACAGTGGTGATGAATTAAATAGGAACGCCACTACAATTGTAGGGGGTTACGAAAAAGAACAGCCACAACAATTGTAGGGGCTTAAAAAAAGCCATAAACTTTGAATGGGTTTAAAAAAAAAGAAAATGTTTTGCTCTACTACATTTTTAGTTGCATGCTGCTCATGTCCTTAGGAATCATCATTTTTGTCATCATAATTGTCATGAAGAAATTATTGAATCATCATCATATTAATTGTTACCAGCCTCATCCCAATTATCTTACAATATATATAGTTAAAATGTAATTAAAGGCTTAATGGTCTACAAGTATATACATAGTTGTAGTTTTAAATATTTATGTATAAATTGAAAACATTTTATTAGTTGGTTTACTTTAAACTCTCGACTCTTTTTAAAGTATTTTTGCAATATTAATTTTTCCTTGTATTTTCTTTATTTATATTTGAATGAATATTTATTTTTTTTATTATTTTCGTATGTTTCCATGTTTTTAAATGGAGAGTTCTTTGTCAGAAATAAGTAAGTAACGTTTAAATAATTATAATAATCCACATGTCCAATTAGTCCAATTGAGAACCTTTACGGGGCTCTTTCAATAGAGGTTTATACCTTAAAGGATCTCAATGAAAATGCAAAATGTAATTAAAGCCCTTATAGTCCACAAGTATATAGTTATCTTGGCCAATGAACTTTTAGCCAAACGGTGTTGTATGTTATATTTATTTATTCGAAATCAATAGCAAATCCTACTGTCATTTTTTACAACAAAGAAATTATTAAAACATTATAAAATAGAATTTAATATGTATTAAAAGAAATGCAGCAGCTTATAAAAGCATATTTTAATTTTCTCATAAATAGTGAAGGCCTTTTAAAATTGAAGCTACTATAATGAATATGCTTTAAATCGCTTTATTCTAAATATGAAAAAAAAACTGTAAAGAAATGAAGAAAGGTTTCCTTGAAAATATTTATTTGAATCATACAGCTTAGCTGTATTTGGCAATGAAAATGCAGCAGCTTATGAAAACAAATTCCTTGATAGTAGTTGGCTTGTCAGTTAAAGTTAGGGAAAAACAGTGTTCCTATTTATTTATGCACAAGTGTATGAGTATGTTGGGTTTTGTGTGTGACAGTTGCAATTGTAGACCTCAAACGACTACGCTGAGTCGCCTCGTTCTCGAGTGGGGCTGGTTTGAAGCATTTTCGTATGCATGAAGACTATGCGGAGCCATTTTGCAAAAGAAGCAAGTTTTTTTGCGAGCCATGTTAACTGTCAGTCAATCGAAGCAATAAAGGCATGACCACAACAAAAACAAAAATAAAAACGAAAACAAAACAACAGAACAGAACAGAACAGAGCAACAGAGTTGAGCTGGAAGCCAACAAGAAATACTTGGAAAAATAACAACATCTACAATTCTGTTATTGCCTATTTGGATGGCAACAGTTTTGAAGCAAGTTGACCAAAGACCTTATGACTTATTCAGCATCGAGTGGCACGTTGAACGAGCTGAACGAGCTAAACGAGCATGTTGCCATAGCATCGAGTTGAGCTGAACTCAGCTGAGCTTTCTTCGTTTTTGCATTGCTCTCTCTGTTCGCATTTGTTCATTAATTATACGCCGCGTGTTACGTAGAGCCAATTAAATTCACGCATTTAATGAGTAAGCGGTATACGAGTGTGTGTGTGTGTGTGTGAACACGCACAGGTTAAAGAACATCTTGCAATTTTAATACATTCATTAGGTTTATAACGGCACACGCATATCGGACTCGTCGAGGCGCGACGCACACTCACACACTCACACACATTAAGTTCCTGTACCCAGGGGAGTCATTGACATACATTTCATCACTAGCTGTGCCACTGCTGCCAGCCAACTGCCATTTTCCAAAATGGCGGAGAACAAATGGGCAAGGCACCATTGCGGCTGCTTTACGATGCACCCCCAACCAATTCTTCACATGCCTGGGGGACCTCTGCTGGAAATTGTATCAGTTACCTGCAACAAAGTTGCAAATAGTAGTCACTACCATTTTATGTAAAGGAGCTCGCCTTAAGGGCATTGCCATTAAAGTGCCCATTTTTATTATAACCTTTACCCGGTGGGAAAATGCGTGTACCTCTTCAAAGTAGTAGATTGTAGATTGTGAATTTGTTTAATTATTACGACTCTTAATCCATCCAACATATCATTGAAATACAATTCAGAAACTTGGTATTTCTTTTTCAAACTTAACTTGTTTACAAAATGGATCCTTCTCTAATAACAAAAACATATACATTAATGCAAAAAAGTCCTTGCAAAATATAAGGGAGATAATGTTTAATCTTTTTAAAAATACCATGATATTCCTTAAAAATATTTAAAAATGATATTTTATTTCAAAACTATTCCATCTTGTCGAGTTCTGCTTTAAAAATACCAAATTGTAGGTTACGTGTATATTCAGCGCATCGGCGGTGACGTCATCGCTGTAACATAACATTCTGTAATTCGGCTGCGCCTGCAGCATTCTCTCTGGCTCTCATCAATGCAATGTAATTTGGCAGCGCTCTCTTGCTCTCCTGGCAGCTGCTGATCTGCAAAAGCTTTTCTAACGGAGCGTTGCGCAAGCCATGGCCAGTCTAGAGCTTTCTAGCGACTCGCATAATTAGTTGTTGTTGCTCTCCAAGTTTCAATCGCTTGCTTGATCAGCATAACAGTTTTCTCTCTTTTTCTAACAATTTTTCGTTATTTTCTATTCGCCTTCATCCTATCTTTATTCAACATTGTTATTGCTTTTGGTTATCTACAATAATTCAACAAATTGTCACGATATTTTCTTAAGTTTGGCATTATTTATTGGGCGGAGTTTCTGTCAATTATTAGTTATTCTTATTTTGAAAAATTATTGGCCTTATATGTATTCTTACTTCAATTACATTTTGGAACATCAAAATTGCATCGCAGCACAATATGATCCTTTATTTTAAAACG